TTTATCCCATATTGACAAGAAAAGAAAAGACCTAATCATTTTTGATGATTGTGTAGCACAAATAAATCAAACAGTTCAACAAGAATTCTTTACTAAAGGAAGACATCAAAATTGTCATTGTATATATCAATCTCAATCATTTTATGAAACGGATGCAATGTTTATCAGAAAGAACGCCACTTGTTTTATTTTATTTGAATTAAACGATTAAAAGATTTAAGTCAAATTATTCAATCGATAATTCATGGTATGCAGAAAGATGAATTTAAAAAATTTTGTAAAAAACAGTGGAACAATCCTGGCGACCATGGTTTTGTGTTTATTAATACAAGAAAACAAGCAGGACAAAAAGTTATGACAAATATTTGTGAGATGTTAAATACTTGATATTAAAAAATGTCTGATGAAACGTTTAAAAGGAAATAAATGATATATGAAAGCTAAAAATCAAATAAAATCTAAAATTGAAGATAAAAGATTATCACAGATGGGATTGGATGAAAACCTATCAACTTTATTTAGTCCTATATTAAAACAACAAGAAGAGATACAAAAGAAATTAGTAGCCCCACCTGTTGGTGTTTCACATCCTCCCCTAGAAATAGAAGATCATCCTTTTATCATAAGGACACTTAACGATATAAAACGTCATTTTTCATACCCTGACCCAGGTTTAACAAAAAGTATTAAACCAGTAGTTGATAATGAGGGATCATTGTTTAATGGATTTAGAATAAGATTTAGTTGAAATGCACCACAATTCAAAATCGATACAAAAGATTTTATATTTACATTAACAGAAGGATTAATAAATTTCATGAATGGTGGAGATATTTCCAATGCCAATTACAATGATTTAGTAGCATATTCAAAACTTCTGCATGCAATTAAAAGGACAGGGCTCGAAACAAATAGATTGAAAGAAGTTGAGCAACTAAGAGCTATTAATGAAGACGATGAATATATAGAAGATAATGGTCAAGACAGTTCAATCATGAGACATATAGACGAATTCGATAATATGATGCCTAGAGGTAGTAGTAAGGAGTATAACTACTGGAGAAGGTATAACTTTTTTGTATAACAGATAATCTAACCAAACCAAACCAAACCAACGACTACCATTCGACTACCAATCAACAAGAAATACCATGATCAGAACGAGTTTGGAAGAATGAAGGAGATCGAGTAACTCACGCCACACCATCCAGGGCCGAGTTTCACCGTCATGTCGTTCGACCCGACCAGATCTAACGAAGAATCAACAACCAAACCAACAACACAGAATCATCCAATTTGATCCAATCCAACTACTACGACTACCAACAACTACCTAGTTTGCGATATCAGCATCCGCTGGAAGCGAACGTTAACTTGTCATCTACCTACCTACCTACCTACCTAACTTTTTTGTTCGATGATCCTGAACAATTACTCAACAGACTTAATATAATTATTGAAGCAATAAAACATGGACATCAATCTATTTTCAATGAAATCCACGCCATTTTTAAAAGATTATTAGAAATGCATCATAAGTTAAGACGATTATGAATTGTTTTGGATTTGTCGAATTAAATAATGTTTATTAAAATGGACGAAGAACTTTTTGTCATAACATCTAAATCCTCCAAAATTAGATTAACCTTAAATTATGTTAAGTTTTGAGTATGTTTCCATCAACGATTTTATATCTGAATACGTTGGAAATCACAAAGGAAAACCCAATATTGAATTCGAAGGTAATTTAAATCTGAACAAAATAAAACTAGTTTTAAAAGACAAACATAAAGTAGATTTCGATATGGAAAACTCAATAAATGAATTATTAGGTTTAGAAAAGAAAATGTATACCAAATCTACACTTGCTCCTAATAAAGCAAATATTGAGAACGACATCGATATCATCAACATTCATTGCAATTTGGTTGATGGGGGTCTTTTTAATAATGACAAAAGGATTTTCAGTATTCCTACGTTTACAGTTCTAATCGGGTATAAAATAATAGAAGATAGCTTGCCAGGCAAGGTAACATACGCCCACTTCCAGCTGTCAGAAATGATAACAAAGTCTGTAGTGATTTAATATGTGAAACCAATCATCCGATTTTTACTAATTTCAAGCTTTACTTGAATCGTATCGTATAAAAAATGTAGTCTCTATCAGGCCTACAAGCCAAATTAGACGCAATGTATTAATTCAAGGGCAATAACTCCAAAACCGTTCACCCCATTGGTACCAATTTCAACTTGACTGAGATCTTGTCCATATATACAAGCATACCAAGTTTCATCGAGATCAGATAAAAACTGCACCCTGTATCATGACTACAAGCCAAATTTGTAGGGTTTTTACTAAATCAAGGGCAATAACTCCAAAACCATTCATCTGATCATGACAAAATTCAAACTTGACCGATATCTCATCAATATATACATGCATACTAAGTTTCATCAATATCGGTTAAAAACTGTAGTCTATAGTCTGCCTAAAAGCCAAATTTTACTAAGTCAAGGGCAATAACCCTGAAAATGTTCATCCAATTATTACCAACTTTATTCTTGACCGATATCTCATCAATATATTCATGCATACTAAGTTTCATCAAGATGGTATCAAAATTGTAGCGTTCATTGGGCATACAAGGCAATTTTAACGCAATTTTACTATGTTAAGGGCAATGACTCTGAAACCGTTCATTCGAATTTGACCCAGATCTCATTAATTTATACATACATAATAAGTTTCATCAAGATGGGATCAAAATTGTAGCCTTAATCGTGCATACAAGCCAAATTTAACACGTGTTTACTAAGTCAAGGGCAATAACTCTGAAACCGTTCATCCGATTATTACCAATTTCGAACTTGGCCGAGATCTCATCAATATATACATGCATACCAAGTTTCATCAATCAGATAAAAACTGTAGTCTCTATCGTGCATACAACAAATGTGGACGGACGGACGGACAAGGGCGACGGTAATATACGTCCACATTTCCATGTGGGCGTATAAAAACCATTTCAAACAACATATCTACCAATTAATTCCACAGGGATCAAAGAAATCAATTCAGCTATAAAAGACGGACGTGGATATTTTGGTGAAGAAGAAATATGTATTCAATTACACGTTTCTTCATTTTCATCCAAAAGTATGTAATCGTAATCATCGAATTGATAATTTTCATCCATGTTAATTTCATTTTTATCATTATAAGGATTCATTATTCCGTATTTCTTTGGAGGTTTTCTTTTCATCAAATTCAAATTATGCTTGAACACTTTCTTTTGTTTATCTTTCGAACACCATCTTTAAAACTTTTTTTCCAAGGTTTATCGAATTCGTTTTCAATGTCTTCTCCACTCGCTAATTTAAGATAATCGTCCACAGTCAACTTAGTTTTTGTGTATCCTTTAAAAGTTTTCTTTTACACTAATTCTCCGTTAGAAGTTAGAACAATATTGTATTTTACTTTCGGAGCCAAATATAAACCAAATATTAT